CCTTAGACTTACAAGAGCAGAAATTAAATATAAAAACATACTTATCGATACATTTTATGAAACAAATGTTGAAAATAAACATCGGCAAATTCAATGATATCATGTACATCCACCCAGTCGGCACGCAGTCCATTCCTTTACTTTTGTATTTACGCCAGTTACCTTCGTCATAATTTTCTTTGCAATGACAGAGTGCAAATCACGTGTTTTTGGCGCTGCCACTCAGTACAATTTTTATTTGACGAAATTGCTCAGCCAGTGTTTTACTTAACGAACCATCAAAGTCTACCACCTGCGCGAAACATATAGTACGGTCACAAACCCAGTATTACAGTCACATGCAATTTTAGTAAACTTTAGCTTAGTTTAAGTTTATTTTATTTACCTTTAAAATACCTGTACGTATATAAAATATATATAAAAGGAAAGATATCTATTGGGGCTCAAAAAATGTATCTCTTGTAAAATCATGCACCAAATCCCACTCGGCAACAAATGCGTAGAGCAAAAACAATGCAAAAAGGGTCCACGAAAATATCCCCGTCGATCGTCGGGCCACGAAATTAAAGGTCAGGCACAGCCACAGCTGGGCTACAATCGCTAACAGGAGAAATATGTAACAGTTGTCGCCCTCCTCCCCGTACAGCCAGTACGAGGATCCCTTCCGCCGCACGTTCGTGTTAAACAGAAGGGCCACGCCCAAGCCCAAGGCGATGCCTGCAGGAGTAGACGAATTAATTTAACTGGTAAAAACAATAATTAAATCATTTATAAACAAAAACAAAGTATATGCTCTGCAAACGTGACGCCTGCCGAAAAAAAAACAATAAAATAAAATTATCGTTAAAATATTTTGTTTTGTTTTGGTCTCCTTCAAAATTGCGTGCGTAACGCAGACGTCGGCGCACTTATGCGGAAGCCCTGGGTTCAACCCCCGTGAAGTGAAAAAGGAAAAATATTTATTTTTTACAAATAATTTAAATTAAATGTGAATTTTTTGTTATAAATTTACTAAATGAAAAGTTTCCTTTTTACTGAAAACGGGTTAGTTAAAATATAAATCAAAACAAAATAACCAATGCTTATGCATGATTCCCAGTTAAAATCCAAAGAGGGCAAGGAACAAGATTTTTCTGGACCGATTCAAGTCTCGAATATTGTTGGGACTAGATACATAAGGCAAGATTAAGAGTAAGGTCGGGCAAGAGATATAAAAAAAGTTCTTTGTCGTGAGGGGATCGTCAAAGTCCTTAGACCAACTCTTGATGACACCCAAAGCAATCCTGTCCCTATTGACCACCATCCGCTCGAGTAACAAGATCAAGGGTCAAGAGAATGGGAATAAGCACTCAGTTACCCGGCATTGTTTGGACAAGGCTTTCTTTGCTCACTATTTACCCGCCCATTACTTAACTTGCACTTCAATTTAGGTCCCACCCATAGAATCTTCCAAGCACATAGTTTCCACAAACTTTCCGCAGTTGAGCGGGGAATTGCGAAAAAAAGTCTTATCTCTAGCACATAGTGTAGCTACCCCTTCCCTTCCCTTCCCTTCCCTTCCCTTACCTTCCCTTCCCTTCCCCAAAGGAAGAGTCAGTGAGGATTACTTACTGAAAAAGGGGCCGGCACAGCTGGCGGCAAAGGCCATTCTCTCATAGCCCTGCATGGCCAGGGCGAAGTTGGACATGAGGTCGATGGTGGCGTTCATCATCGAGCCGAAGGTGATGTCCATGAAGTCCTCGCTCAGATGCAACACGCTGCCCACAATGAAGGTGAGCACCTCGATTTCGTTGACGCACAGAACGATGATGACCAGCGAGCTGGACACGCTCAGCGTGATGAACAGCTGTGGGGCTCAGGTCAGGTGCGGTCAGGTCGGAAGCTCCTCGACTTACCAAATGGTAGGAAGGAGGCACATCGGTCCTGGCGTGCAGGAATACGAAGAGTGCCAGGGGCACCGTCAGGCAAAAGGACCACTTCGAGTAGTTCAGGTTGAGGTCGACGTACCAGGACTTGTAGACGCTGGCAAACTTGGCTGCAGGTAAGATATGAGACGGGGGGTAGGTCAAAGGTCAAAGGTTGACTCGCATACAATGAACCGCGGTGATCAGAATGAAGGGATTCGTGACAATCTGCGTGCAGTTGAGCAGCTTGCTCCAGCCGTGCTTGTACCTCTCGTAGTCCACCACGGGCACAAACATCGTGATCAGCAGCACCAGGGGCATCTTCATGACGATCATCAGCCGGCCAAAGCAGCCGCTCAGCTTCCACTCAACGGCATCGAAGGGATTCAGCGTCTCCAGGAACTCCGCTCCCAGGAATCGATTCTTTGCGTTGGACTCGCTGTGCAACATGGTCCGGTTCGTCTCGTAGTCCACCTGATCCGGCTTCTGCTCTGACAAGGGCGTCGCAAAAATATCAGCCAGCGAATTGCTGGGGTTCCTCCCTTTCTTGACATAATAATGGGAGTTGCGCTTCTTAAAGTTCATAGCCTCATTATGTTCCAATCGCAGCAGTAGGGCTATCTTCTGCTTCAGCTCCCTGCTATTCCTTTGCGAGGTTCTTTGTGCCCTTAAAGTGCGTATCTCCACTCGCAGTTCTGTGTTGTAAGACGATGTAAGAGAGCTCTAGACGGCAGTGCCCGACTAGGAGATGCCCTGTACCCTCCTTCTAATAGTATCATGGTATGGGAAATGCACCCTCGACTAACTAAGGTGTCTATGGACTAAAGCACAGAGCTTTACCCCTCAAAATGGGTTAAAGTGGGAAGTTATCGGAAAATTCCAAGGGAAGGTCGACCTATCCTCGGCTGTTAAAACAGATCATATATCCTACAAAAGGTAGGTCGACCTATCCTCGGCTGTTAAAACAGATCGCATATCCTGCAAAGGATCGTAGATTCCTTCTTCTCTTCCGATTATCAAGGGATACAGGGCATAAGAATAAGCTGTGTGAAACTTACTTCTTATGGAATATCGCATCAGAATAAGGTCGGCGACATTGACAACCAAATAGGCGACATAAACCGAGAGCAGCACTGCGACTCAGTCAGGATCATAACTATATTTAGTTATGTTATTAGCGAGAGACTTACTTATCGACTCTGTCTCGGTCACACTGTCTCCTTTGACCATGATGAAGCGCAGCAGTTCGACGGACAGCAGCAGGAAGAGCAAGTTCTGCGCAGTGCTGTGTCCGTCCATTTTAAAGGGCTTCAGATAGCAGATCATGCCCCCGGAGAGCAGCAGTATGGCGACGGCATTGCTAATGATGCTCGTGAATAGAGCCGCATTCTCCTTGATGGGCATCAGATTGGCTATCAGATCCGGGGATGAGTTGGCGAAGGCCAATATCGTGACACCGGCCAGGTACTCGTTCATGCGCATCTTGAGCGACAGAACCTTAAGAACAGGCGTTAGGCTTCGATATGGATGAAATGAAAGAGCACCGATTGCAATGATCTACCTAGCTACTTACAACGTATCCACGACAATCGACATGAGAAGCACATAGAAGAGCGCTGCAACGAACAGCAGCAGCATCACGCAAAGTTCCGTTGTCTTGTCGCGAATGCGCAGCATGCAGTACATCATCTCGAAGTAGTTGAAGTAAGTTATTATGTGACGACAGTCCTCCAGTTTCTGGGCCAGCATGCAGCGATACTGGTACGACACCTTCACCAGGCTGTGGCAACTGGTCTGTGGAAGGGCATTTAAAGCAGCCGTGCGTGCCGAATGCAAACGGAATACAAACATTGGACAGAAAGTGTCTGAACTCGTCCTCTAACATGGCCATCGCATCTACTTCTCAGATCTACTTTATATTTATTTATACACTTGTTAATTGTACTATAAGTATAACCTGCCACATTTATTTCAAGTCCTTGACAGAAAAGTAGTGCGTAGTGAAGTTGATATCTATGTTGATTTTAAGATTGAAACTCAAACGAATTCGCGACTATGGACCTTCATTCAAAGGACCTTTAATGAATCCATTTGACGTTGTAAATTATTTTGACTAAGAAGCTGAGCTTACATATATAAAAGGTTCTTAAATCACGAGATCGAATATCGAACTGGAACCAACTTTGTTTTTAACTAGATGACAATTCCAAGCAAAATCTAAAATATATTTCCCACACAATCTTACCGTTGCAGACTACTATATCATATACTACCTCTTATAACTTCTTTCCAGTCTAATGCTAATGCTGATGTATTTCAGCAAGAATCTATTACATTTTTAAGTGGATACGGAATTATTATTACAATTGAGCCCGATTTCACTGAAATATAGTCTAGATAGAATATTAATTTTTTTTTGCATTAATTTAACATTTTAATTTATTTAATTCAATTTAATATTTGTACTTGATTTTTATACAAATTTTCTCTAATGTATTTATTAACACGAGTTGGCAGCACAACGTGTTCGTGTCACGAAAAAAAGCACGACTTTCGTCTACCATTAATATCTAGATAAGCTACATAAGAGAATTAGAAGCTAGCTAGAGCGCTGAGAGTACTGAGAATACGCTGAAAGTACAGTTTCCTGTAGTGAGAGCGAGATAAAAAGCAGCTATGCCGTTCTACCACACAAATCATATGCATTTCTTGCTCTCGGAGCAAGTGAGCGATTCTCGAAGCCGAACAAAAACGAAGTCGATTTTGGACCAGACGCCACAAATATGCATGGTCCCATTCTTCTACTCTAGTTGCACCTTATACAGAGAACACATACGATATATGTTAATTCATGGTAGAGAAAGTTAATCCTTGTCAGTTATAGTTACATAGATATATGGCTAGGACGACCCCTGAGCGTAGAACATCGGGTGAGTGAAAAGGAAATGTGCTCTCTAATATTCCTTTTTTTAATACAAATGCTATATTGGAGTTAGTACCATAAGATTTCTCATTAATTTGAAGGATAAACAAATTTAGGGAATATTTCGCTTTACAAATGGTTTGATTTTATTTAAATGCTTTCGCTTTTTAAGAACTGCATAATGTGTGTGTGTTTGTGTGTGTGTGTGTGTGTTATTTGGATACATACAGTCCTTATCGTTGGACAATTGTTTTTTTTATTATTTTTAATCAATTTATATTTTTTTGTATTTATTAATTTTGGCTGTAAGTACCTACGGGAGGGATATTTCTTAATATATTTAATTTCGTTTTGTTTGATTAGTAAATTTCTTCTGTTCGTTTTTTGGGTTTTTTTTGTATTTTGTTTTTTTTAGTTGTTAATTCTTAAATTGAGTGTGTTTTTGTGTGTGTGTGTGTGTGTGTTTTTAGCGATACTATTTTGGTTCAAGTCCTTGTGTTTTATGTACATATTTAAACTAAATTAAATGCTATAAATTACTAGTGTGTGGCTTGGTTTGATATTTGAATCTCGCGTTAAGATTGGGCCAATTAAGCGACCCCGAACATAAGTACATAGCTCTGTATGGTGTGTGTGTGTGGGGTGTGTGTGGGTGTGTGTGTGTGTGTTACAATAAATAACTCTATGTTTAAGAATGCCTTAGGTGCTAAATACATACATACAAAGCTGCTAGGCATGCGAATGGAGCATAGCAGCTGCTATATATACTACACACATATATATATATATATATATATATATATATGATAACTATAGATATATATGTCCTACGTGGAAATTAACTAACATGCATACACATATACAGATTAAGATACAGATACAGATAGACGTTAATGGCTACAGGAACTAACTAGTGCCAGGGCTAACTCGTAAAGTTGTAGCTGCGGACCGCACGTCCGGGCGTGACCAGCTCCACCTTGATGTTGGCCGTGGCCGTCACCTTGGTGGTGTTGCTGTCCGAGTGCGTCGTCTCCACGGTCACCTCCGGCTGCACCACAATGCTCTGCAGCTCCGGCGGTCCATAGCCGCCACCGCCGCCGCCGGGCTGCGAGGCCTTGTGGTAGGACGGCGGCGGCCCCGCATAGGAGCAGTTCGAGCCGGAGGCGGCGCCATGTTCACGTGGTTCACGTTCGTTGCGATGCTGATAATTGTTAATGTTGTTCATATAATGATTGTTCAGATGATTCGGATGGTGACTGTGCGTGGGCGGCGTTGGCGGCGCGCTCCAATCGTTGTGCATTTGTATGGACGAGTTGCTGGACTTCCACGATTGCGGCTCCTCCGTAATGGTCGTCAGCGAGGGGTCGTTGATGTTCACGTCCTTGTGGTAATGGTGCGCCTTGTGACAGTTGTTGGAGTTGCCGGAGTTGCGCGACGAGCCACGCGATCCGTTCACCACGAACGACTTGTTGGAGCGCTTGCTGCTGCGCATGGGCACCGGCGAGGGCGTCGATATGCGATCCGGATGCTCCAGCGGCACCAGCTCCGCCTCCGGGCCCAGCATGCTCAATAGAATGGGGAACACCACCAGACTGTTGCAGGCGCCCACGCAGAGCACCACCAGCAGCAGCCAGCAGAAGTGCCGGATGACGAACTCAAAGGGCGACGTGGACAGCATAAACACCGCCATGCCGGAGGTGAGCATGCCGTGCACCAAGGGACCCAGCGACAGCTGCATGGCCAGATGAACGCGTCGCTGCCGATTGCCCACGGACGTCATGAATCCCTGCAAGAGAGTAAGGAGCGAGTGAGTTTGAGTTTGGGAAGAATCACGACGTTGACCTACCAGCGAGATGTGCACGTTGAAGCAGAGCATCATGCCCACGCCCAGTATGAGGATGACGGCGGGAATGGCGGACAGCTTGATGCCGAGCAGTGTCATGGCGCCAAAGATTTGGGCCAGCGAGGCAAGCACCGTAACGATCACAAGCACAGCAGCCCAAACGGAGAGCAGGAGCAGCGAGACGAGCACCAAGGCGGCCAGCAGGACGCAGGCCAGAATGAGGGCCAGCGAGGAGCGCAGCGTCATGTACTGTTCCCAGAAGATGAAGGGAATGCCTAAAGGATGCATTAGATGCAAGTGAGTAAGGGCTTCAAACGGTCAATCAACCTGGGTCAACCTTACCTGACGGATAGTTGGGCAGTCCGTAGCCCTCGTATTTGACGCTCAGATCGCGTATGTGGCCAATCAGGGTCTTGATCTCGGACGTGTCCGTCAGGCCGTGCAGATAGAAGGGCATCTGGGCATAGACCAGCGGCAGGCTTTTGGGTATCTTCAGGTCGTACTCGTTGGGCGCATGATAATACTGGCGCGGTTCCGGATAAAGTTTGCCCTGAAATACATTAGAGAGATCAAGTAATTTAGCATAAAGGTCGCACTTCCATTGGAGGGGAGGGGGGACTGGGGACTGGGGGGGAACTCACCTGTGAGGCACCATAGGCAAAGACGTCGTTTGTTGCCCACGCGGAGAGATAGTTGTAGAAGGCCTTGGGATTGATAATACCCTCGCTGTTCACCAGCCGATTCGTCTCCACCAGGTTCTTGTCGATCGGATTGTCGACATAGCCCGTCTGCACGATCAGCTTGTAGGCGAGAATCGCATCGCTGCTGGCATTCGGATACCAGTTCTCCTTGTGCAGTCGGCCGTCGCGGAACTCCTCGTCGAAGATGCGCTGCAGATTGATCAGCCAGTCGCGGAACAGCAGCAGCCAGAAGTCGGGCAGTCCGCCGTTGTCGTTCTTGATCACGTGCGGCACCCGGACAAAGGCCTCGTGGTAGTCGCAGAGCAGCTGCTGCTGCGTCGGATACTCGAAGTTGCCCTGGGTCACGGCGTACATGCTATAGAAGCCGAAGAGACGCGTCTGGGCGTCCAGGAACTTGTGCTCGTTGCTGTGCTTTGGCACCAGGTCGATAATGTCCAGGCCATCCTGCAAGGATGTCGCCTCGTACAGGCTGAAGATGACGGCGCACAGGAAGCCCATCACGGCCAGGAACTTGACCCAGCTGCGCATAAGGAACGGCGTATAATACTTGTACGCAAACTTGGCCAGCGAGAAGGCGGGCAGGGAACTGCCCACCGCGCCGCCAGCTGCGCGCGGCTCCAGCAGCGGATTCTGTGCCGGCTGCTGCTGCGCCTGCTGCTGCTGCTGCAGTTGGGCCGTTCGATTGTTGTTGCAGTTCTTGAGATGACGTCCGGCGCGCATGCTATTGTTGTTCATGGTCAATTGGTGGGATTTGGGCTGCTCCTTCCAAATGGGAAAGCAACAGCAAAAGATGTCCGCACGTCCAGCGGTGCGTCGGCGCAAATCCAAAGATATCATTGCCGGAAAAACCAGCAGAGCGGCGGCCAGATTGAAGCACATCACAATGGCCGCCTGCAGGCAGAAGACCTTGAGCGCGGGCACCGGAATGAAGACGGCCGCAAAGAAGGAGCCCGCCGTGCTGCAGGCGCTGAACAGTATGCTGGGACCGACCTTCTTCAAGATCAGCTTGGTCTGCTCCTTCCGGTTGCTCTCCGCATACGCGGCCGTCAGCATGAAGATGTGGTCGACGCCCAGGCCCAGTGCCAGGAAGGGCACCACCTGCGTGCTCGCCGCATTGAACACAATGCCCAGCAGGGCGCACAGGCCTAACCCGGCCGCCGTGCTGAAGCACATGAGCAGCACCCCGGCCACGCCGACGCTGCTCTGGCCGCGCACAGGATCGCGCCAGCGCAGCAGCGTGCAGAAGGCATAGAGCACGGTGGCAGCGACGCCGATCACAATGCTGACGGCGCTCGGATGCGAGAACTTGGCCAGTATATCGTCCAGGGTCGCCGAGCTGAACACATAGATGTCATAGTTGGACGCGATGCGGGACTGTTTGCGCAGCAGCTGCTCCACCTCGCGGGAGAAATTGCGCTGCCAGGCGTTGAGCACCTCGGCGGCCTTCTGCTGTGTCCAGCCAATGTGATGGACCTTGTAGTGATCCTGCCACTGGTCGTACATCTCCTTCTCGGTCATCAGCTGCACCACCGTCTGCAGAGCCTTGGCCTTCTTCAGGTGTCCGCTGCGATTGCGCTGAGCCCCGCCCACAATTAGCTGCTCCGGCCAGTGCATATACTTGGCCGCATAGCCGTAACAGCCGCCGGAGAGAATGGCACCCACATCCGGTGGCTGACGGCTGTTCTTGTTGGGCGCCGTGTCCGGGCACAGCGGATGCATGGGATTCAGGCAGGGCTTCTCCATGTAGCCGCTGCTGATGGCCGCCCGTTTCATGTACTGCTCCACGGTATCAAAGTCAAAGCTGATCTTCTGATCGGACAACTTCTGCTTCATGAACTGCATCACTGCCGACGGATTCAGAGTGCTCCACATGAGTCGCTGGTTGAGGCCGCTGTGAGATGAGGATTAGGGAATTGAAATCTACGGCTCTCTTCGAGGGATCCATTTGGTACTTACGGTATATAGACGGGTGTTTCGGGTCCCAGCAGCTGGCTGCCCTCCCAGAAACAATCGAGCGGCGTAATGATGGAGCACGGTATCAGATGCTTGAGGATTTGCTCAATATAATAGTGTCCCTCGAAGCTGGGCGTTGTCGGTGAATTGCACATGTCCCGCAGACCCCATTCCGTATCGTACATGTGCACCTTGACCGCGGTCGCCTTGACGAGCACCTCCAGATGCGATAGCAGCGCCTGCGGATGCAGCACGGATGCATTCGGATCGTGCGCCGTCTGTATGATCAGCTGATGCGTCGAGAACTCATCCTCGCCGATGGTCTTCTGCGTATAGGCCAGCTCCGATTCGAGCCGGCCGCCCTCCTGTATCCACAGCTGATGCACCTTCGAGTGTATCTGGGCGCTCTTGAGGCCCACACAGAACGTGCTCAGCACCAGGATGGCCACAAATAGCACCTTGCCCGCATGCTTCTGCACCGAGCTGCCGAGCGTTTCGAGGTGGGATTGGAATACTGAACGCAGATAGATTGCCGTGCGGTTGCCACGCGCCTTGCCCTGCGCATAAACAGAGACAGAGAGAGAGAGAGCGTAAATGAGTATTTGCTTTTTAGTTTAAATTTTAACCTTTTTTTTTTTTGGTTTTTTGGGTTTTGGTTTATGCCATAAATAACGCATTAAAATTATAACGAAACAGCGTGTGGCCCGACCGCAGCCATATAATTTATATGTTTTTGTAGCATCATCATCATCATCATCATCATCATCATGATCGTCCCATTCCATGCAACCAGCAGCACCCAACCTAACCAGCCCAGCCTACGAAAACAACACAAGAGGCCGACGCTGACGCCGACGCCGCAGTCGACGTCAACGTCGACGACGACGCAGCCGCAACCTATAATCGTTGGAAGCGCTGCCCAGGCCACACCAAGCCTGGCTTGGTCTCGGGGTCTCGGGTCTCGCTGGCTTTCTCGTCTGTTCCACAGCGTTGCACGGAAATTGAGCCCCAAATAATGAGGAGCACGCTAACGTCTCAATCGAACCTTTAACCGACCAGTCATTGCACAGTGGGACGCAGTCGCTTATTGGCTCTGACTTTGACTTTGATAGATCGACAAGGGAAGAGAGGGGGGGGGGGATGTTGGGGAGCAGGAGGGGTGGGTATAACAAATGACCTTAGCTGCCATTGTTCTCTGTTATTAATGACGCACGCATCCATTTTTATTTGACTAGTAAAATTCTTTATATATATAATAATAAAAGTAAAACAATTTCTAAAGGTCATTTTGAGGAAAATCTTTCTAACTGGAAAATTATCTAAAAGCAACTAGATTTTACTTATCAGTAACCCTTCTCTTATCCTTGTTTTAACTACATTCGTACATTATCCTGGGGTTACTTGTTAACAGAGCTAACTTTACAAGTAACTTGTAAATTAACATTAGGGTAACAGTTAACTTGTGAACATTGCCAATGCACTTTCTTTTGCCTCAGTGAAAGATTTCTAATAAGCGACAAAGAATAAAAGATACTTTTAAGCAATGCCAGCTTTACAAGTAACTTGTAAATTAACATTAGCTTTAGGATTAGGCTTACAGTTTACTTGTAAAAATTGCCAATGCACTTTCTTTTGCCTCAGTGAAAGATTTCTAATAAGCTACAAAGAATTAAAGACACTTTTAAGCAATGCTAACTTTATAAGTAAGTTGTAAATTAACATTCGTTTTAAAATTAGGCTTACAGTTTACTTGTAAACGTTGCCAATGTACTTTCTCTTGCTTTACTGAGAGATTTCTAATAAGCTACAAAGAATAGAAAGACACTTTTATGCAATGCTAGCTTTACAAGTAACATGTAATTTAAAATTAGCTTTACATTTTCCTTGTAAACATTGCCAACTGCTTCTTCAGCTGAACAAATGGAATTTCCTCGAAATCACAGAGAATAAAAGTTACAGACAAATTCTATATTTACAAGTAACTTTTAAGCTTCAACTAAATTAACAAGTTGCCTTTAAATGATGCCCGTTTCACACGTGAGCTCTGCAACATTCTCGTAGCTTCTAGTTGCGCCTCACTGTGCAGCGACGCCGCACCCAGCCACAGGTACAGAACAGACATTCCAAGCTGTGCATGAAGCGTCTCGATCTGGGGATTGGGCGCTGTTAAAAGTCTGTGTGGGGCAGACTCCTTTTGCTTTTATCGCTTTTCACAGATTTTCCGCCAGTGAAATGGGCCCAGCGTTAGGTCCAAATCAAGTTTTTTCGGTGTGTTTTTTTGTTGTTGTTGTTGTTTCGTGCTTTGTTGTTGTCGATTGTTGGTTTTTTGTTGGTTAAAAGCGCAGAGGTAAAAAATGACTTAAGTGGCATTGACTGCAAGGAAGACGGCTTTATTGTTGGGCGAGCAGTCAGTTTATGACTACCGTTAACATAGAGACGCGAGCAGCGACGCGCACGGAGGCGTCACCGCGCTGCGGCTGCGGCTGCGCGCGGGAGTCAGCCATAAATAAGCCATGCCAAAAGGTTACCAGCGCCTAATGTCTGTGTTTGCTTATTTGAAGTTATGCGTGGCATTTGTGGGTGCGCCGCCAGGTGGAGCTGGAGGTGTGTGGCATGTGGCATGTGGCACGGAGAGAGTGCCGCACTTCCTGCTGCTTAGCTATGCAGTCAGCGTCGCCGCCGCCGTTGTGTCATTTCCGCAAACTTCAAACTCAGAAGCGGCTTTGACTTTGTCGCTGTTAATTAAGTCATTGGCGGCGACGACGTCGGCAGCGGCGGCGGCGTCGTCTCTTTCAAGCTGCGCCGCATGTGGCGACTACGTTTGCAATGTTCGTGGAATTTTTCCATAATTTGTGTGTGTGTGTGTGTGTGTGTGCGTGGTGCCTAAAAGAATGTTTTTCTCTGGTCGGGCGAAGCAGCAAAACCTAAACAAAAAGACGCACACAATTCTCAGAAACTCTGCAACAATGTTGTAACTGCCGCAGGTCGCAGCAGCAGCAGCAGCAGCAGTCGACGCAGCAGCAACTACTAAAAATAAACATAATCTAGATTTGGCAGTCACTGCAGTGCAGCTCAAACTGTGCGCGATTGAGCCATCACAGCGGCTGCTGTTAACGCTTGTCAGCCTGTCCCTCCCTCTCCTGCTCCTTCTCCGCCTCCTTCTCCTCCTCCTCCGTTCGTTCGCTCGTTCGTCTGTCTCTTTTTATCCGCAACAAGCCTCGCCAAATGTAGCCTGACCATGTGACATATCATCAATCTTGCCTGCTGTTGTTGTTATTCTTCTTCTGCTGCTGCTGCTGCTTCTTCTCTTTCTGCTTCTTCTTCTTCTTCTTGCCTGAGTGCCCAGCTACAGCTACAAACACCCGCAGCTGCCGTCGCTGCCAACGTCGACGTCGTGAGGAAATGTCACAAATTGATTTATGGCCTCTGCACAGTTTGTTTTCTTCTTCTTGTTTTTGTTGCTGTTGTTGTTTTTGTTGTTGTTGCTCTTGCTTAAGCGGAAAATTGTATGTGCAGCATTTTCTTTGTAAGGAGCCTGCCAACTGGGAACAGCTTCATTAGAAATGCGCATTTTCGGTCCTAATCCGCAGCGCTTGGCTAATCCCACGGCTCACAGTTTGAAATGCACTACGCTGTGCCGCCGCGCCGTGTCGAATGCGCGACAGAGATGGCAAGCGAGCGCTTGACAGGTGCATTGTAAAGGTAAAAATACAAAATACTTTCAAACGAAGTCGAAAACAAAGACACATTTTCAGCTTGAAGTACTCCCTCTCGGCTTTTCATTAGTTATAAAACAAAAGCCGAACAAGAGATTATATAGACATATATAGTATACATATATATACATATAGTATATATACATCCACTAATCAATCAAAGAGCTCGTGGAGAGACTGACATATGCATAATTTAGCCAAAGAGCCGGGCACCCCCCACGGGCTTTGACTACTTAATTACACGGCACAAAAACCTTTCCAAATCGAGAGAGATAGATGGAAGAGCTGCCCGTCTACTTATATGTGCGCCCAGTTATAGTTGTGCCGCAATAAAAAACGAATTCAAAATATTTTTAGCATAAAACGAAACTCAATATATGTCTATCGCCGGACAAAGGCGACGTGACGGACCACCCAGCCAAGGCATAATTATCATATGGGCATCGAACACTTATAACATACATAGATACTCATCATAAATATAGATACTCATAACTATATAGATACATATGCCCGTCTCCGTTTGGGCAGTCATATTCCGTATAAGCGACGTTTTGTTCCACTTGCCCAATGGAAACGTCAACGCACTTTTATACCCTTTACAGTAGGACATTTTTATTCGAACATCAAATTTGTTAGCTCCGGAAGTGACTAATACACCATAAAAGAAAAAATCTTAAAAGAAACACTTTAATCTCTTTATAGATACCAGATATCATTCATACTTTAGATATAGATAGATAGATATGATAGGCTAGAAAGGTTTTTTAGAATATGTTATCCAAACTTTACTATCCTTCATAATTTGTGCCGGAATCATTCATACTTTGTTATATATTGGTAGATATGATAGGATAGAAAGGTTTTTTAGGATATGTTATCCAAAATTGTTTATGCTTTCTACATTTCTACTGTGTGCATGTCTTCAAGGGCATTCAAACTTCGGTGTTCCATACTCTTTTTAAGAACTCAACTCTATTTATATATGGTATATGTATTTGAATCATGTGGGAACCCATCGTTTATTATCATATTTATTATCATACATAAATTTGGAGCTTAGGCCGTATTTGTGTACATTCTTATGAAGACGGGCCTACTTATAAGTCTAGTTTACGGCTTTCACATTGATTCGAATTGGAGAGAGAGAAAGGTGTTACCCGCTAATTTATGTGAAAAGTGTGAGATATTGCTGTGAACTATATTCACAATCAACGATTAGATAGAAGCTCCACCTTAGTTTATTAAAAGCTATACATATAATAAAATAGAATTTAAAAAAAATTGTTGCAACTATTTATGACACGAATATGAGTCGCATGGAGTTGGTGAAGCCGCTGCGGAAGTTTAAGCTGGTGACAACGATGACGGCATCATCTTGCTTGATGATGCCCACGCTCTTGGCCAGCTGGACGCCATGATCCACGCGATCCTCGACAGTTTTCTTCGACTTGGAATCGTGCGTCGAGTCCTCATTGTAGCTGATCGGCCAAATGCCCCGATAAAGATTCGACTGACGTGCAATCTGATCATCGCCCGAAATGAGGCTTATTATGAGACACGGTGGCCGATAATGGCTCAATGAGTACGACGAGAATCCCTCCGAGGTAAGCACTATTATGGCCTTGGCCTTGGCCCGGATAGCTGCACTCACTGCGGCTATTAGGACGACCTGCTCGAGCTGGCTACTTGCGCTCTGAAGCAGTTCCGCGAAGAGGTTCTCATACCAGATGGCAGCCTCGGCTTCGCGACAGACCTTGCTCATGGTCTGCACACATTCCACCGGATAGTCGCCCATGGCCGTTTCGCCGGACAACATGACACAGTCGGCCCCGTCCAGCACGGCGTTGGCTACGTCGGAAAGTTCGGCGCGCGTTGCACGGGGCTTCTTGATCATGGACTCGAGCATTTGGGTGGCGCAGATTCCCGGCTTGCCGGCCCTGTTGCACTGGGCGAAAATAGTTTTCTGGGCAAGGAAGACCTTTTCCGCCGGTATCTCAATGCCCAGATCCCCGCGAGCCACCATGACGCCGTCGGACTCCTCAATTATGCTCTTGATATTCCTCATACCCTCATGGTTCTCGATCTTGGCAATGATCTTGATGCTCTTGCCCTGCTCGCCCAGCACCGAGCGTATTTCTTTAATGCCATCCGCATTCCTTACAAACGAGGCGAATATAATATCCAGGTTGTGGTCTATCGCAAACCGTAGATCCGCTTTGTCTTTTTCGGAAACGGCGGGCAAATCCACATTCACCCCGGGCAAGTTGACGCCCTTTCGTGATCCCAGTTTGCCCCCGTTTTCCACCTCGCAAACCAACTCTTCGCCCCTGACCTTCTTCACTTTCACTGAGAGCAGTCCGTCGTCCAAAAATACGCGATCCTCAGGCTTGAGCACTTTGGTAATGTTCGCATAGTCCACATAGACCCTCTCCTGCGTGCCGTTTTCCCGGAGTTCCTTGTTGGTGCTCAGTATAAAGGTTGCCCCCCTTTCTAACTCCACAGCACCAGTCGCACTGCGCCCGATGAGACCGACACGGATTTCGGGTCCTTTTGTGTCGAGGGCAATTCCCAAGTGGAATTGGTAGCCCAGGTTTTGGGAGTGGCACTCGACGGCCTGGCGCAGATTGGCCACCGTCTCCGCGTGGTGTTCGTGCGATCCGTGCGAGAAATTCAAACGGGCCATATTCATTCCGGCTTCCAACAGTTTTATCAACATTTCGACACTACGCGAGGCGGGTCCAATGGTGCAGATAATAGTCGAGAGTCGTCGAAAAATTGTCGGTGCGTCATACTCGATGAGGCAAGAGTGCTCCAGCTGACTGTTGGCCTTCTGGACAACTTGTTGTGTCTTCTCACTCCTATGAAAGAGAGCGGGTGCGAGACACAAATGAGCTCTGGAACCTTTTTACCTTTTAATCCTATTCGATCAAAGAGACGACCTGCAGATTCTGTCGGTAATAAAACTAACTCTCCCTAGAGACACAAATAAGCTCTGGAACGATTTCAACCTTTACCTTTTAATCCTATTCGATCAAAGAGCCAACCTGGAGATCTCTCGGTAATAAACTTAAGTCTCTCTGGAGAAGAATTCCAGGTCAACCTTTACTTATTTTATTAGTCCTATTCGAACAAAGAGGTGACCTGGAGAACTCTTGACAATAACCTTAACTCTCCCAAGACATACAAAAAGATCTGGAACGAACAATTCCAGGTCAACCTTTACTTATTTCATTATTCCTATGCGATCAAAGGGGCAACCTGGAGATCGCTCTCCCTAGAGACACAAAAAAGATCTGGAACGAGGTCAACCTTTACCTTTTAATCCTATGCGATCACAGAGGCAACCTGGAGATCTCTCGTTAATAAACTGAACTCTCCCTAGACTCAACTATGTTTGTCGATTCGTTTCGCAATGATCTGTATGTAGATGTGCTGTTTGACTGAAAAACTCACATGTTTCTCACGTAAATGTGTGTCATTAAACGTGTAGCTCTCATTAAAGTTATGTGCCGCCCAAAGGCGTTCTTGAATACCAAATTGCGGGCATGTCGCTGGCACGAAATCATGTCCGTTTTACCTAAAATTTGGAATTTAATATCTACCTAAAAGATTGCTGTTAACACGCACTGCCCGTAAAATAAAAGGAAAACACAAAGAAACAAACAAAATTATAAAACAAATGCTTAAAAAAAATGTACTTTGAAGTCAAAGTACAGGCTATTAGACACATCAAATGTTGCAGTGCCAAATAAATAGATAACTCAACCTTCCACACAGTTATATCATAATCGAACACTCTGGTCCCACTGTGCATTCAAATACAGTTTTTTTCTCAACACTGCGGACAGCCGCCCGCATGAAAAAGCGCATGAGTATGTGTCGTATCTGTACGCATACTGAGTTTGTGTGTGTGTGTGTGAGTGTTGGACCACACACATTGGTAACATTTAGTTACCCACGCTGCTTAAAACGAGTCAAGTTTCGCGGCTAGGCTAGCAATTAAAATAAAGTAAATGGGACGATGACGATGCATGCAAATTGTCGTTTGCCGGCAATTTATGGCGCCCCTAAAACGTGACCAGCAAGCGTTCAAGCATGTATTTACATACATACATATGTATGTATTTTGGCCACTACGTCGCTCGCCATTCAGCGAAATCGGTTAAAATTCAAAAACTAAAAGAAACAAAAAGGTTTGAAGGTCATTGGAGCAGCTGGAACTGTTGCCAGGCCGTGAGAGCGTCAGGCGGCTTTGGTTACCGTTAGGCAGCACGGTGACAAAGCCAAGCACACACACACACACACACAAGCAGTGCTGAGCCAGAGAGCGACCAAAAAGAGAGCGAAATCATCCCTACGCTGATCCACTTTGTTGCTGTGCTGCTCTTTTCTTACGCTTCAGCTTTTGCCTTATAACCACAGTTTATGCTTTTATAGCGTGGGCGTTGCAGCCAAAAAACCAAAAAAATCAAAAAAAAAAACGTAAAATAAAAATAAAAATAATGTTCAACTGGCGGCTGTCATAAAAATGCAGCAATAACTTTAAATTTAACTTCACCTGCCCGGCAAACAAAAAATAACGCTGCTTGTTTTGCTTTGCTTTTAGGCAATTTAATTTCTTTATTATTTTCATACGAAAAGGCCCAGAGATACCGACGCACACATGCTCTTACACACACGCACACACACACACACACACGCATACAGTCGGTCAGTCAGGTAGCCAAGGCGGCCACGTCGCTCATTCTCATTGAGATACAGGTACACACGCACCGAACCTGAAGCCGAGCCCGAATTTGAGTCGGCAAGGGAGAGAGGGCTAGGGCCAGGGCGAGGGCTCAATCTTGAAGTCAAAACTTGGGCCTGGGCCTGAGCCCTACCAGCTATGTCCGTTGTTTGTCCGGGCTGTCCGTTAACTGCTTTTTCAGTGAATTCCGTGATTATTGCTTGAATGTTTCTTTCCGGTATTCGCCTCGCTCTCTGTCTCTGTTTCAGCCGCAGCCGCAGTCGCAGTCGCAATCGCAGGCCCAAAAGCCTCTCTGTCCCCTTCTCTCTGCTTCAGTTGCTGTTGCTGTCTCATTTGCTGCCCAATGTCACTGCGTTGTCTTCTCTTGCTTTGGTACCTTCTTCGCTGCTGCTGCTGTTGTTTTTGTTGTTGGTTTTATCTGCTTCTCTCGGTCGGCCGGCCGGCCTGCCCGCTTGCTGTGTGGTCAAGTTAATGTCTTCATAATTCTTTTGAGTTTTTTTTTACGTCTTACGTTCGTTTGTCTGTTGTTTTTGTTCCCCGTTGCTGCTGCTGTTGTTGTTGTTGTTTTTGTTCCCCGTTGCTGGGGCACGTTGATGAAGACAATAACAGTTTTATGTGCGGCCAGAGACAGAGGTAGGGCCCGGGCCCGGGTACGGACGAATCGACTCACAGCCGGCCTAATGAAGCTGAGTGAAAAACACATTTCGACTTCCAGTTCCCCCAATAAAGTTGTCTCCGTTTCGGTGTGAGGCCTCAAAATTGAGCTGTCAATTCTGGGGCAACGTGTGGGTGCTATTTGGGGCACTGACTCCGAATCATTCGTTGTGCGTGTGTGTGTGTGCGAGTGTGTGTGTGTGTGTTTTAGTGTTGGGTTTTTGGGTATTTTTAGTTTTAATTGGGGGAGCATGATCCCAAAAGCGATCGCTCAACTGCTAAGCAGATTATAGAGCAAAGGATCAAAAGTGATCTAGGCGTTAATTTATGATTAAGGTGGGCTGCCCTGGGGTCAAGTTATTCAACACACATATATCATATAATGACATATTATATACACTAATAAGTAAACACTTATTTTGCCCGAGATTAATTTTCGAGAATTTTAGACACTCAATAGATACAAAATTCTATATTATATTCCACTTTGTTTATAAAGAAATATTTGAAGAATCCATTGAATTTAGTTTCCCACTCCACAAATTCAAATCAGAGCCGCACAAAATAAATATTATACTAAGATAAGATCTGCTGATAAGATCTCGTGCAACAGGTGTAACGCACATAAATCATTCTCACACGTTGGCCCAATATTTGTTATTCCATATCCGATGGACTTGAACCGGAGACCGAGACACTGAGTCCGGCAACAACAAGAAATCAAACAATAAAAAGTTTGAAAAAATATGAAAATAACAATAATAAAATATTTTTCCCGATCGAAAAAGTTTGACTATAAGATACACTATACAAAATTATGCATATGAAACAAAGAGAGAGAGAGGAAAATTTACTCGACAGGTTCTGATTCCCGAGGAAACGTCACTTTCTGCTTAACCTATTTAATGTACCCGCTATTACGATTTTATGAATACAGGGTATTAAAACAAAGACAAACAGCTTATAAAAACCCCACACCAAAAAAAAAACCTAAAGATCAGAGAAAACCGAGGGGCGAGTTTCGAGTGGAGAGAGACCTAGAGACGGAAAGACAGCTGTGTGCCAACTAATCCTTAAGCATACACAGGTCTAATTCGAGAAGGAGGGGCGGAGAGACAGAGACAGAGACACAGAGAGAGAGAGAGAGAGAGAGAGAGATACCTGCATAAATTGCTCGCACTCGGTGCTCAGCTCCAAGGGCTGAAGTCGAGACGAAGTGGCTTCCGAGAAGACCAAAGAAATGCTGTTGCCCAACAAAATGAAGATATCTCACGCCTACAAGCATTTCCGGCTTACAATTGACAGAGGGTAGCGTATTAGACAAAGAGCGCGAGGAGAAACGAGAGGAAGTACTCGGCCTTAACAAGTTAACTGTAATTTGAGGCGCGGGGCGTGTTAAGGACGGCAGCGGCAAAGATATTAAGAGATATTCACTAGTCCTCTGCACTTCCAGGAAAGGGTGTCAACCTAGCCAAGAAACTGTATATACCCTACTTACTTACTGCGCCTTGACTTTTGCCAAAGACTACGAAAAGGGTGAGGCTGAGGCCTTAACAATGCCCAGAAACTGAGCGACGGTTAGTATTTGAAAAGAACGATTCCTGAAATGCACTTAACCCGAAAAATGGACAGCAAATATAAGGGAACACAAATTGTTGTTTAGTTTAAAAAGGTTCGTGTTCAAGTAATGGACTTTCCCTCAGTTTAGCCTTCGAGCCAGTTTTTTTTCCCCGTTCTACCTTGAACCCCCAATTCCACGCTGTGGAGTGGATTATCCGAAATCGATTAAACACGTTCGAAAAAGAAGTTTCCAGTTCATACGTTAATTAGTTTACGAAGGTTCATGTTTAAGTAATAGACTTTCCCTCAGTTTAACCTTCGAGCATATAAAGCTGCTAGTTTTTTTCCCCCAATTCCACGCTGTGGAGTGGATTGTGCGAAATCGATTAAACACGTTCGAATTAGAATTTTTCAATTCATTCGTTATTTTGGACGCAGATCGAACAATTATTGAAACCTTTTGAAAAACATCTTTCAGGGAAGGTTTTTCGAAAAGTAAGAAATGCATTTTTTTCATCATTTTTCATCATTTGCGAATGGAATCCGCCAATCCGTACCCAAAGATGCTCGTCCCTTTGACTGTGGTCGGATGATGGAAATTTTGTGGTTTCTGCACTGCGCAAACATCTTCAACTTGTTGACTATGCAAAACATGTTTGGTCCGCAAGTAACTCCGGCTAGTACCATATTTATGTTTACTTAACTTATTACGATCTAGCTGCTTATTTACAATTTCAGGGTTTATGCTACTGGTTTTCGATTTTGGCCATGTCAATTTTTTTTGAGTAACGTTTGCCGCGCAGCCCGATAAATATTTGTTTTTCATGTGCTGTTGTGAAAAGATCGGGCGGCATGACTTAACAAAAATTGTTACCCCCACCGCCAGCAACAAATGCCGCATAAACAACAACGAAAACTTCTTCAAAATGCCGCCAATGCGGCTCAACTTCCTGTGCTGAGTGGTTGTGTGTGTGTGTGAGTGTGTGTGTGTGTGCTTTACAATTGGCACAGCGACAGATGGTAGAGAGGAGCCGAGGTACGGGAGAGACGTGCTCCAGCGATTTCATTCATGAATTTATACATATATACATATACATGTATCTTATAGATACAAATACAATGACCCTCGTCTCCAACGCCGCACATTCGTACATGGCCTGCATCCATAGTACGGTATTGCCATAAATAAACATGCGGCACAAGCAAATAAAATTCATAAGCCTAAGCCCAGCTGCGCGACTTGCAGATACTCTGTAATCTTTAGTGTGTGGAAAACTTCAGGATAATACTTTTAAGCTTAGATATCGAGCACATAAAGGGTTAAGCTCAAATTTGTCAGATTGATTGATTATTCGCTAATTTATAATAAACAAATAATTTAAGAGAAACTTAGTTGAATTTAATTATAAGTCGTGCATAGACTGTGTTGGCAAACGTTACGAGGTAAAACGAGAAGACGATTAAGAGAGACGAAAAACAACAATATAAGCTGAACGGCACAGTTTGACATTCACCTCATTGATGGAAACGTCAACCAGGGACCTCCCAGGAGGGAACGATTGTTGCTTGTTTTTGGTCTTTTATGGCATACGAATAAAGTAATAAACATAACGTTGGCCAATTTGCATATGCGCTGGCCAAATGAGCGAAAAGGGTAACACAATGCATTTGGCCGTTTTGTTGTTGCCTGGCTTCGTTAGACAAAATTAATGTCTTAATATATTTCGCTAAATTGAGTCATTAAAATAAATCGCCCATCGTCGATGACGACGACGACGACGCCGTCACGAGCAAAAGGCCAAACACACAAAACACAAACAGCAACAAGACAAGCAACAACAACAGCAACAACAACAACAACAAGGCACGACCACACCTCAGCTGCAATCGCAGTCAGCGTCGCTGCCAACTGCGATGCTGCAGCGAGCGATCGACGCGTCGCTCGCGATCGCCACAACTTTCGAGAAGTTCAATGCGAGGAGGAAACGTTGTAACGTTACAACACAGCGCCACAGCCAGACCTTACGAGAAATAATTGAGGAGCAGCGTACTCAGAGAGGCAACAAGAGCAGAGCAGAGCGGAGCAGAGCAGAGCTGCCATAATGAAGACATCAAGTTGTAAAAAGCAGCGCAGAAGGCAATGCACAAGGAGATGCGAGAAAAGGCGAGAAGCGTTGAGGCTGCTGGCCACAGTTTGACAGCCACTGCGCCCGGTCAAAAAGCGCGTGCGTCAGTGAAATATTTTTTTATTTTTTTGCTTCATTGTGGACCACCCGCACTTATTTATATAATATATATGTTATGCATGCATATGTGTGTGTGTGTGTCTTCTAGCTGACGTGACGCGCCGTGTGCGGTAGCTGCTTCTACAATTCTACAACACCAACAACAACAACAAGAAAATAAACAGAATGCTTTTGGCAACGACAACAACAAAAATCAACAGCACCCACAAAACAAAAACAACAACAGCAGCACACGAACGCGAACGATAAATAAAGCGTTGAGTAAAGTTTACTACGACATTTGTATGCTCTATAGCAAAACAAACTCTAATGTATGTAGTAATGGTATATTATTGAGGAATCTAATGTATAATATATAAACATGATAAAAGAAACAAATTTCAAAACTAGTTTAAATAAATACATATATAGCAACCGATTTGAATAGATGAAGAGCATTTCTTCACACACATGCATGTTTTCATAAGAGAATTTAATCTTCGTCTAGCGGTGGATTGCTTATCCTGTTGTTTAAGCTTTATCACTGTGCATTCCTTGTCTCAGCATCGCAAACGTAAGGGCAAAGTTGCAAAACTCATTTTTATCAAAGAGCAAATCAAAAGTTTTTGTTGTTGTTTTTGGCGTTGTCCGTGGCTGCCTTCTCCGCACACAAACACAAACACACACACACACACACACACATTGAAAGAGCTTCTGCAGTCGCCGCAGCCAGAGCTTCACTTTTTTGTGCAGTTGTTATTTTTGTAGCTGTTACTGCCGCTGTTGTTGGCTTTTTTTGTCTGCGGTCAGCCGACAACTCCGCCGCACAGTAGCACAAAATAATGAAGTTGTTTTTGTCTGTGGCTCTGGCAACTGAGTTTCGAGTCGGAGGTCTCGGGAGCCCCGATCCTGCTGTGCGCCAAGTGAAAATACATAGCTTAAGGTTTGATTCGTACAGCAGTTGACGTGTGCTGTTTTTGTTGTTGCTGTTGCTGTGAGTGAAAACCCACACACATACATACGTACATATACATATATATGCTATGTATTGTATAAACATGTGCTGCACACAAACACATGTTGAGCTATTTTTGGCTTTGAACTATGCTGGGCATACAAAGTGGCTATGTTACTTTACATTGTAACGTTAATTAACATTGACAATGTTAGAAAAACTACCTGTATGCACTTAAAAAAAAAAATGAATGTAAAAAGATATTTTGAGTAAAGTTCGATTCTTTACATTTTTCAGTTTTCCCCCATTAGTGTAGTTAAGTAAAGCAATTAATAAAGCATCGAACAGGCAACAGCAAATCGAAAAGCTGCCCGCGTTCCCTCCGCCAAGAACGACACAGCCGCAAACAACTCTATTAAAACAAATTGAGTAAAACCAAAAACGAAATGGAATCGAATCGAGCGACAAAAAAAAAACAAGCCAAAAAAACGGCGTCAGATATCAGCAATAAATTGTATCGAAAGCTGTCCCAACGGCTTAATGACTTCATTAAACAAAGCTAGGCCAGTCTGGGCCTGGATTCGGGCTTGGCTGAGCGCCAGGTCGGAGCTTTTGTGACTCTGTTTTCACTTACCTTATCAATTTGATCGAGCGCCACTTGAGCGTCCACCCAGCTGGTGCGTATGTAAAGATCCGAGAATAATTTCTCATCGACGACATCGCCGTGTGTGTCTGGAACGCGCGGCAGGCTGTCCCTGTCCATGTTGATGCGTTTGTCTGTATGTGTGTGTGTATTGTAAATTGGCTGTTAAGCTTGTGCGGCGGGTGTGGGAGGATAAAAAAGGCGCGTTCTCTCAGCTGTTAACTGTGTGCGAGGGGGAAGTTCTGTTAACTAACAGCGGCAGAAAAGTGCTACCAATCAGCTTGAAGTTCACGTTCGCTCTGCAGCCTATCTGTGTGTGTTGTCCACACGTTTACGTTTGTGTGCGTGTATTGTTTATTTTTGTTATTGATGTTCAAAAAAAAAAAACAATTACATTTTTCGCATTATTTGTATTATGTCTGCGCTGCATTTTTGCTGCATCGTAAACAGCATTTTAACACTCGCTCTCGTTTTCGCTCTCCGGCTGTCAACTGCTTCTCTCTGTTTCGTTTTGTTGTGATTGCTGGCTTCGCTTCAGCTTGAACTCGATCTGGACTCGTGCTTAAGATCGCTTCACTTTTACACTGCATTTGTGCACATTTTCCACAACAATTTCAACAATTTTCACACATAATTCACACGTTTTCCGTATCGAGCGACGCGAACGCCTCAGAAGTTTCCAACACAGCGCTGCATCACGTTTTTTCTTTCGTTTCGTTTCCTTTTCGCTCTCTGCGCGTTTTGCTTTTTATTTGATTTTTTGTTACACACACTTTGCGCACGTCGACGTTTCGTTAGCTGTTGTTGTTGCCTCGGCTATCTAATTCGTTTAATATTTGGACTTTGTTGATTTCCTTTGGATATTCATTGATATTTAAAAGCATATATTTCGACACTGTGTTATTGTATTTACAAAATCACTATCAGGCCAGCTCGGCTTGTATAAATTTGCATTCGGCGCGTTTCGTTAGTGCCGCTCGCGCAGTGAACACAACCGTTTCGTTTGAAGATCGCACGCAGTCTGAGAGATACAGATACATTTTGTATTGATGCCTTACATTGTTTTTGCTTGAAATGAATGTTAACTCAAAATGGGACTGTTAAACTCAAAATGAGCATGCTAAATGTAGCCAGTGAGAGAGATATGTATGTGGCGCAGACAAGACGCGACTTCACCAAGCCTACAACTTCATTAGCGTGTCATATCTGTGTGCAACGCTTAGACTCTCTCACTCTCATTCTCGCACGCGCTCGCGCTCAGTTCCTCGGCCTGCTCTGTTGCGGCCATTTTGATTTGAGCGCGCCTGCTACTCACAACGAGGGCTACAGTGCACTCACGGTTAACAGTTTGATAGCTTTGAGAACAGTTCAGACTTGTGTGTGTATGCGTATATACCATAGGGATTGATCGAATACCCTACATCCGTAAAAGGGAAAAAAAGAGGGCATCAAATTCATTCCTGTTACACCACATCTTCGATATACACACCTCTGAACTCTGAAAACTAGTATATGTAAGAGAATATAGATGCTTGTGTCCCTAAATTTGGTAACTTATCCCGATATGCTAACTAAATATGTATGTATGTATATAGGGTATCTATTAATATTTTCGCAGGACTCTTTCATTCTAACAATGTAGGCCAAATTCCTATATTATTTTACACTAATGCAAACTAGACAATCTTCAATATATATAATGTTTTTTAAATGTGTTACTAATGATAAGGTTCGATTATTATGCTGATAAGAATTATATATTTATAAAAATCAATAAAAGTCAAAGTTAATATAAAATGCAATCAAATCGGATGACCGTTAGGAACTGTTGCTGATTAACAGTTTCTGCTAAAGTTTTAAAGCTCATGCATGTCAAACCTTACGGGCCGGCAGCAAATTGTTTAAACAAGCCTGCGATTGTGCTGGCTAATTTTGTTGTTGTTGCTTTAGCTTAGACCACACACGACTGCGCCCGCTGGCGTTATTCATGTTGTTGTTATTTTTATTGCAGCGACCACCCAAATAAAATTTGTTGTTGCTTCATTAAAAGCGGCTGCCGGCATTGTGGGTGGTCCCCAGTCCCGATGCTCTCCCGCCGCTGGCCTCTCCTTCTGCCCGCTCTTCTGCTTGATGTCGGCCTTCAGCTGTGCGAGCAGCGACGAGACGTCGCGACGCGTCGACGCTAGTGGAGCTTTTATTATTGTATAAGTGTTTATGCCCGTGAAGCGCGTGCGCGGCAGGCTTTACTTCTGTGTGAGTGTGTGTATTGGTGTGAGTGTGTGTGTGTGTGTGCGTTTTGTGTTCTTTGCAGGCTGTGAATTGTTGGCAAATTTGTTTGCTGCTTTTTGTGCCTGCCACATGGGCTTGATGTCTGTTTTTGCATGTTTTTAATACTAAATTATGAGCAGGATATTTCAGCTCCCCGCGCCTTGTCGTGCGTTCATATGTGCGCTTGTGTATGTGTGAGAGGGGACCACACAAGTTGTTGTTTTGCGAGCAAATTATATGCGGCCCGCTGAAAAGTTGATTGTTTTTCTTGCATCGACTCCGATTTGGCGAGGCACCAGGGCTCCTAACATGCTACGAAAGCGGGTAAGGTAAAAAAAACTCCCATGCGCATAAAAATGATACCAAAACAGGAACAGACATTGTCTTTTCAATACAATATATTATTAAAAATTATTTATTGTAATTATCCATATGAGATATGTATGTATGTATGTATAAATAGATCACAATCATCAATTTTCACACATTACATTATTGTGAGTGCCTTAAATACATACATCATATTACCCCACGCAACGCCAATAATTTTCATGGTAATTTTAGTATTATAATTCATGAATGAAATTGCATATTATCTGATCAATAGAAATAACTGTTAATACATAAATGTGAGCTATCAGTGGAATGCCGAGAATAAAATACCCTTTCAAAATTGATTATCTAATATTGCATATTAGTACGATGTGTATAAAATTTTTATTATGTATTAGGAGCTTAGTAAAATTAATAAATGGCCAGGCAGAGGCTCATAACTACATTAATTTACTTATAAATATTATTACCTTATAGGGTCAGGGCTGGTCTTCATTCAGGCGTTACACGTTTAGTGTCAGAATTATTATACCCTGTGCAAGGGTATAGAAACAGTGATCAGAAAATTAGCGTTCGAATCGCAGTCGGAATCGAAGTCGCATTCAAATTCGAATGCAACGTCATTGCCGAGACCCACCGCAAGCCGCTATTATAATCAAACAACCAGCAACAACAGCAACAACAAATAACTTTTGATGACGAGCAGCACACGTAGCTGCCCCCTTTTGCCCCCTGCTGCACCATAATATCGCTGCCTCTCACCTGGCTAACGTTACATCAATATGAATGGCTGCTGTGCTTTTGCTTGTGCTGAGTGCGCCTGCACCAAGCACTTGTGCGCTCTTTTTGCCTCTCTCTCTCTCTCTCTTTCTCTCTCGCTGCCACTGACTCTCTTATGCTGAGCTGCAGCAGCAAGTCAAAGGGGAGAAGTTGTTGTTGTTTGTGCCCGTTTCTGTGTTGGATTGCGTGTGGCGCATTTTGGCGACATGGGCGGCATTTTTGCCGCCGTCTCGCGGGCCGCATATTTTAGCTTTATCCATTTACGTCGCGCTCTCTGCAGATTGCGCCATTTTTTGCTCAGTACATCGAAAACTAGTGATGGCCATGAATCTTGCCTGGCACTGCACGGATTTGGATAACATAATGGCTACAAGAAATGTTGGTTTGTAATTAGGGTATACAAATCGAGTGTATACATTAAACCATACTTTGTTGCGTTAGTTTTAAAATTTAATTGTTATTGTTGCATATTTATAAATTAATTCGTTGCACAACTAGCAAATTATTTCATTGCGTGCTTTTAATTCTGTGCACGGGCTTAATCGTGTTGTTGTGCTCATCTCTGGCATCGCAGTGCATGACTCTCATGTTTTTGCTCTCAATGACTTGCATTTTGTTTTGCTCAATTCGCCTGCAGCGTAACGCAGCTCCAATGCTCCAAAACCGGAGAGATAGAGGGAGAGAGAGAGAGAGAGAGCGAGCGAGGGGCACACACTGACATGTGTACTTGGGCATTCAAATGCTGTGCCTGTGTGGCGGCAGCGGCGCAGCTGCCATTGGACCACCAACGTGGCGGTTGAGAGCTTCATTTGCCGTTTCAGTTGCGGCAGCGTCGGGTTATTGTTGTTGCTGTTGTTTAGTTGTTGTTGTTGTTGTTGTTGCTGCTGAAGCGAGCTGGCTGCCTGCCTGCCTGCCTAGAGCGCGGCAACTTTTTCAACGTCGCCTTGTTTTCGGATATCATTCACATGCAGGCAACTGATCTAGTTTGAGATGGGGATGGGAGCAGCTGTTGCCCGCGTCTGCAAAGGACCACAACGAACTGCGTTTGAGGGGTCGCTGGGGTTGCCTTACGAAGCGTAAAAAACAAGGGCATCGAGGGGAGATCAAGATATGTAGATACACAGATTGTCAAGGAAGCTGTTCTGTCTGTAGAGAACTGTTACTTCTTATACAGATCACAAAGTGAAACAAGTGTATATAAGTACATATATATACAAGACTTACAAATTGGGATGGACGGATTAACCGATTTTATTTGAAATTAAATCCAAAGATAGCCCTTTCTGTGAACTGAGAATTGCACAGGTGGTTTAATTTGGTATTTAATTAACGCAAAGTAAATGAGGTGAATGATCTGTCAGGCGAAGGGTTGCCTATTGCTGACTCTGACTAGCCCACATTCAACTTCACAAACGGCTGCAGCTAGCCAAAAATGTTTCACTCGTGCCGCTTGGTTGCCCCCCCCTTCGAGCTGACACCCCTTCGCCATTGTGACTTTAACGACAGCCAGTTTGTTTTTAATCGCATAATGTCTTAATTTATAGTGCACCGCAGCTGGGTACGGCCCCCCGCTTCCCCTTTCAGTCGCTGAAGCCGGCATTGCAATCCGCATCGCTAGGCAATTGCATTTGTCATTGGCCTATAACGCCATTAACATTGCCGGACCCGCTGCATCCGACGACGACGTCCAGTGAACCACTCGCTACACCACTTAAACTTTTAACTGCATTCGCTTAGAAGGCTACTTGCCGGGTGGAGGGGAGGGGGGATCGGGATCGGGGTTTGGGGTCGTGCATCGTTGCAATTTTTATGGCCGTGCCTGTGTTGCAGTTGTTGTTTTTGTTGTTGTTGCTTTATTGCGGTGCATTTAATGTAATAATTACTATTTGCCACCGGTAATACGTGTGGCTCTGGCTCGCCCAAGTCGCCGCCAATGATACCCTGCACCTACCTCTACCTCTCCCTCTCCCTCTGCCCCCCTCTCCTTCTCTGCT